TCATAATATGACCTAACCAATCCTCTTTACATGACTAGAATAATTTTCCCTGACTTCTCTTCCGTTTTGCAGTGTGCCCAATATATGCCAAACTGATTTTCTTTCCTTTTATTACAAGACATATGAAATGACAAATATTCAAATGATAGCCAATGATATTGATAGTAAGAAGTTGATGTCCCCTGTGCTCAGGAACTTTCTAGAATTAATAGGCTCAGGTACAGGTTGGAGTTTGTGGTTTCTGTAATACTAGGGTTAAAGGAGCAGGCCTTTCCCTTGAATTAATATATATTATACGGCATTCACTTCAGTTACTAAAGAGATTAGCTAGTCTTCAATAAAGCCATAATGTAAATGAAACCTTAGGCTGGAGCAGCATGCTTTAGCACCTTGCTGTGCAAAATGTAGCACAGCCTCACATCACCTGGGAATTTGTTGAAAATACCAAATAGTGGTGCCTACCTCAGACTCAGAATCCGCTTTCTAACGGGCTGCCCAGGAGACTCGTGTGCACATTAATTACAGGGAGCATAGTTTAGCATCTGTGAAAGTTTCCCTCCAGATGTTCAAGGCAGATTAAATCTCAAGCATACTTTTCTAGACCCCACCATGATATAAACTCTCTACTACTTTTATTAGGTTTCATGTGCCTTTCCATAATTCCAAGTTTTGTGACTCCTTGGAGATTTGATTTCTCATCTTATCCAATTCCTAGTATGATCTTTCATTAAGTATACCTTGCAAGTCCTGACCTGACATGTTCTTGTCCTGTCTTAATCTCCTATCAACTTTTCATATCATCAACGTCACTTTCTCTTACTTGCCACCCATACTTCCTCTTATTCATTTCTTGTCTGTAAGATGGTTTAGAAAGAGTCATTCAGTTCTTCCTCAGTATTCCATGTGGTCTTGCTTCAGCCTCATTATGGGGCTGTCTGGTTTTCTGAAATTGAGTTAAGTCATGTCCAGATCTTCTGTCTCATGCTTACTTGTCAGACTCAGCAATACACAGAGGTTACTGCAAACTAAATCATGACTTTCCCAAGTATTTCTCTTGCTTGTTGCTTTTTGATGCTCTGATTGTTTCCCTTTTAACTAAACTAAGTTTGGTAGATGGAAGATTCCTTGAGTTCTTTTTAAATGTGAGCTCAACAGCAGGTTCTTGGCAATCATTGACTAATCTTGTTTTAGAAAGCTTTCCAAATTGTGCATCGTGATTCTTTGCCTCTCCTTCTATTGCCTGTGGAGAACCATTAGAGATCAGGAAGTGACTAAGAAAGCCAATCTTTCTTTGTAGCTGGTTAGAATCACTTCTTATATCATAAGCACAAGTCTTTTGCTACCTGTTTTGTTTTTGTTTCTTAGAATCCAAGATAGCAATTATGCCACCATCTAAAGCCTCTCTGTGAAAACTCTTCTTCATTGATTATAACAAGTGATCCCACTTGGAGAAGATAGAGTTTGGAGGGGGGAAGGGCACTGTTGACATCTCAGCAATAATTAACCAAACACTCTTCAACTCTGAGCTCTAAGATGCTATAGGTTAGGGAATTATTAATAAATGGATCACCAGCCCCTATCAACACACCTGGCATAGAATGAGCACCAAAGGGAAAGGAGACGTAGGACCAGGAAGGAAAGAAGGAAATAATCTACCTAATACCAGGTAAAATGGAGAGCCTGGCAATTAAATACAACTGAATAGATTGTAAAAGAATAGATTGGAAAAGAATAGTTAGGAGGAGAGAATTGAAGTACTATTTCATCTACATCTGCCTTGATATGTAGGAAAGAGTACACAAACTATCTTTTTAAAAGTGACTTGCTGAATCTTTTTTTAGAAATCAATAGAGTAGACTTTGTGTCAAAAGATATTCCAAGCATCTCTTGATTCTCTAAAGAAAAATGAGTCCTCTTTCATTTTTGATTTGGTAGACTGTTTTTTTACTCCCTCCCACTAATTTCAAGATTCTCTGCACACCTATTTAATGATGTTCTTGTGCCTCCTAGTCCTGATAAAACCCTTATTAATTTTTGAACCCATCTACATAAAGATGTGGGCAGAGAACTGTGTCTTTGGTAGAAAACTGTGAACATTGAACAGCTCACCTATAAGGAGCAAAGTTTGAAAGCAAAAAATCCTTCCTTCTAGGTTGTGTTGATACATTTTACTTTAAGTTTGGCTACATTGTTAGGTAGTGATCTTTAAGGCACAAGATTTGTTTACCATTCAGTTTGAAATGTTCTTACCATTACTAAAAATGAATGAGGTCAGATGAATCTAGAGAAGTGTGATATTCATATCACACTGATTAGGATTGTGTGAAAAAAATAAGATAACCTCAGGAATAAGTGCTCCTGAGATTAAAATCATGGGAGGTACAGTGTTTGGCATCTATTTTAACAAATGAAATGATTGTAACCTTTGCTTATACTAGACACTGGATTTCTGGAGATGAAAAAAAGAAAATGTGTAAGTGAGTGGATAGAGATAAAAGACTGGAGAGCTGATAATGCACCAAGAGAAAAGAATTCTCTCTCAGATCACTGAGAAATCAAGAGAGGAAAGAAAAATACTATGAGTCAAATACCATCTCTTCACCACTCTCCCTAGCTCCCTATAGCAACTCATATTATATAGCAACTCTAACTCTTCATCTTCGTCCACGAGTTGGAGGTTTTAGTAACAGCTCCAAGAAATAAAGGCAATAGTCAGAAATTTTTCTTGGGACATATATTCTGAGTACATTCATGTGTTGTCTAAATATTAATAATTACAAACTAATCAATCATTCATGTTTCAATCATCAGGTAACTATACAAATAATTCAAGTACCCCACTACAAAATGCAGTTTTCAGGATAATGATCTATCAGAGGAGTAGCTGACAGTCTCTATATAGACCACAAACTGTTGACAAAGAAGTCAGATAAATGTAACACATTGATGACAATGGGGAATAAATGTGTTCATACAGTGATCATATCCCTGTGTTATTTCAGAATTGCTGATTTGTACTAGAGTCACTGAATTTGTCAATAGGCAAGGAAAGTTATTAACAGCATTATGGGTGGCATTCTCAGGAAACCAGTTTTGCCCACCAAGCCTGTACCCCAAGACCTCTAAGGATGGCATGTGCCAGCTGTCCCTGTCTTAGGGCAGCATCTGCTGGCTAATTCATGGATGGACAGAAAGTGGCATTTTTGTGGACAATTTGAGCAGTCCTTTTGCTTGGAGGGAACTGTTGCGTTGGTAACTCTGAGGGTTTTGGGCATCCTCTAATGATGACCTACCTCAGGTCTCAAGGAGCCTGGCAAGTCTAGAATTGTCCCTTATGAGGTTCAGGGAGCATTTGTGTATTTGTACGTTGTCTGTAGCCTAGGACAAGCTGGTTTGGCTTTGGAAACATCTCTAGAGAGGCATGGACTTACTGCTAATAATAATAACCCAGTACCAATGGGGGCTCCAATGAACAGAGGCCCACATACAGAATTAAGAAGTAAAGCTTATTTTTCCATAAGAAAAGCATTTCTGGGATGAGGGGGGAGTATATTGAAGCAGGCACTGAATGTTAATGTTCTGTTGCTTCTCATCATTCTATCGTGTAACTGAGGTTTTTATACATAAGCAAGCACGAATAACATTCAAACACAGCACTTCTGACTGGAATAAAGAAACTGGAAATTGGAAAGGGCCGAGTGGTCTGAAACTTAAGAGCTATCCACCAACTGCAGCATCACTCTGCCTCATCCCTGCAGTCAATAGCGCCACGGCCAGGGCCTGTGACGCCGTTGGTGGGCTCCCCTTGGTGGGAATTCTGGTTGGAGAGTGAAATCATGGTGTCTGTGCCAAAACGAAGAAACCTGAAATGCGTCTGGGGACTTCCCAGGGCAGTAGCGCTCCTCAGAGCGACAGGCATCTCCATAACAACTGGTGTACAAGCAAGCTCGGTTCCTCCGCTGGCTGTGCGGGCGTTGACTGGGGGGGAGGCAAAGGGCAGCTCCAGTGGAAAGATACCTTGGGTTAGCGCCTCCCTAGGCTGGCGGACGTTGCCAACGCTCGAGTTATCGCTTATTTCCTGAGATTTCCAGAGTTCTCTCCACGTCTTCGGCAAACAGCAGCGCCCCTCCCCCACCCCCGCCCCGCCTGCCCCTTTATTTTACACACCGGAGTGGGGAGCGGTTTGTTTTATTTTGCTCTTTGCTCTTCCTCCCGAAGTTCATCCTTTCCCTTCCAAGTTACTTTCCGGCAGCACGTGACCTCTCCACGCCCCAGCCTGCGCAGCCACTGGCGGGGAAGCGCGGGCGCCGACCGCGGGGCTTCCTGGGAGAGCCCCCTCCCGGCGCTCGCGGTCCCAGCCCCGGCTCCTCGCGCGCCCGGCTGCGGTTCCCCGCCGCTCGCAGCCAGGCACCCCGGCGGCGGGGCAGCCCCCGGATGCTGCGGAAGCGGCTCGGGGAAGAAGCACGGAGCGGACGCAGAGCTCCGAGCCTGCCGCGGCGCCTCCCCGCCCTGCCTGCGCCCGCGGCTCCGCTCTCCGCGGCTCGCCACGCCGACCTAGCTGCGCACCGGGGCTGTGAACGCACACTTGAGAAGCCATAACCCATTAGAGCACACGCAGTCACAACTTCATTCAACTCAGCCGCTCGAGAGCTCGGCTTACACAGGTTCCTGTGGGCAACTAGTGGCTCGCCCTGGTGCCTCTCGCCTAGTCATCAGTCCCTAGGAGGAAAAGGCAAAGTTGCCGGGCTGATGCGCGCTTCGACGCAGGCAGTTGTGCCCAAGGACAAGTCACTTACCTCCCCCCGCCCCCCCGCCGCCCAGCCCCCCGGCTCCCATTTGATCATCGCTCACGACCTCATCGGCTGGAGACCCTTAGTCATGATGGGGGGAGGGGGAGGGGCACGAACTTTTCTAAGAAGTTTCCTTTTCACCAAGGGAGTCACAGTGAGTCGGTCACGTAAACAGCACGGATAGTCGTCGTCTTTGCCGCCCCCCCTCACCCCCTCCCCGCTGCGCTTTTCTGGTATTATTATTAAAGCGGTAGCCTGCTGGCGCTGATAAGCAACAAGTTCCCCAGCGGTCTTCCCGCCCTAGCCTGACTAGGCGAAGGTTTTCTTACCTGGCGACAGGGAAATCTCCCGAGCCGAACGCAGCTTCGCCAGAGCCCCAGGTGTGACCTGAGCAGTGGGCACGGGAGCGGTGTGCAGGCTGGGTTATTTTTAGGGGGGGTACCGTGAAACTCCTCACTTTCTCTGGGAACTTTCTGTGCCAGGACCCAGTGACGGGCGGTTAGGAGGCAGCCCCAGGAACCACCCGCTATATAGCAGGACAGTTGGGCAATCATTGGTAACCTCGCTCATTCATTAGAATCACGTAAGAACTCAAAGGGAAACGTGTCTCTCGGAGTGAGGGCGTTTGCGTAAATCTATAGGTTTTTCAACATCGGTGCCAGTTGCTTTGTCTTCTGTAGTCGCCAAGGTGGTTGAGAGTTTTAAGCTTGCGGATATTGCAAAGGGTTATTAGATTCATAAGTCACACCAAGTGGTGGGCGATCCACTGAGCAAAGCCGAACTTCTCACATGATGACTTCAAACAAGACACATTACCTTCCAGCATCTGTTGGGGAGACGAGATTTTAAGACACTTGAGTCTCCAGGACAGCAAAGGCACAATGGTGAGTAGCAATAAACCCTGCATTATAATTGAAAAATCTTGACATGTTGCTTAACAACGGGCATATCACGGCTCTTCCTAGCACTTCACACGCCAAAGAACAGCAGCTACTCAGGCCAGGGGAATCGGGTTTTTACACAGTGCAACTTTAATTGGAATCATTTGAGATTTAACACAGCAATGTGGAACTGCGTGGAACAAACTTGGAGCTGGAGGGGGGTGTGTTATATTGGCTGTTCAAGGCTGATGCTTGTCTCTTAGCGGTCTTGCATTCCATTCTTTGCATTTATATGTATGGTGTATGAGCATATTCTATGATTTATATGTGGGCATGTAATTGACATTCGCAAGGGGGTTAATTTCCATCTAAAAACAAGAATTCTGTTAGAGCTTGGGGTTAGGGGGTGGGGTGGGGGTAAGGGTGGGGTAGAGGCTGGGAGTTTAGGTACAGATGGGGGTGGGGGTGGGGGAGAGAAATAATTCAGAAGTGTATATCACCGGTAATGAAATGGGTAATCCTCTCATAGAAGAAAAGGGTCTTATCAACATGTGATCAACTATTAACAGGATGGCTTTGGCAAAGCCATCCGCACGTGACAAAACGTAAGGAAGTGGAAGAAACCGTCTAGAGCAATATCAAGTATCACTTAATTAGAGATTTTTTAGTCTTTTCCTCCTGCTGTGCCGGGTGTGTAATCCGGGCGTTCGGAGTCCATTCAGCACCTTGGACAGAGCCAACGGATTTGTCCGAGGTGGCGGTACCCCAGGTAGCTTCCTTGGCCCAGCTGTAAAGCCAGCCCCGTGTCGCCCTTAAAAAGCGTCTTTTCTGAGGTTCGGCTCACACTGAGATCGGGGCTGGAGAGAGAGTCAGATTTTGGAGCGGAGCGTTTGGAAAGCGAGCCCCAGTTTTGTCCCCTCATTGAGCTCGCTGAAGTTGGCTTCCTAGCGGTGTAGGCTGGAATAGACTCTTGGCAAGCTCCGGGTTGGTATACTGGGTTAACTTTGGGAAATGCAAGTGTTTATCTCCAGGATCTAGCCACCGGGGTGGTGTAAGCCGCAAAGAAGGTAAGCACCGGGGCGGGGACCCCCTGCTCCCCAATTCCTGAGCTATTTTGATACTCGATCTTCCGGAGAGGACGCGTGGTGGAGGGGAGGAGGTGGAGGGAGAGCATGAGAGGGGGTTGTTTCTTGGTATTTGCCCAGTTTGAATTGCCCTAGGTGAGAACCCTGGGGCAAAGCGAGAGAGAAAAAAAAACACCTTCAGTCTTCCTGCGGATATAATGAGTTTAGTTAACTTGGACCTGCAAATGTCTGATTCAAATGTAAGATTTCTCTCTCTCTTTCTCCCCTTCACCTCCCTCTTTTCCGTTCTCTTTGCTGGTTTGTGTGTCTGTCTGTCTGTGTGTGGTGTGTGTACAGTAGATTCATTACTAATTATGAAGCTTTTGCACAACATTCGATTTCCTAAAATTTGACTTTGTACCATTTAGAATCAGGCGGTGGCGGTGGAGGTGGTGTGCGGTGGGGAAAGGGGAGGTGGAGGTTGCGGAGAGGGAAGGAGGTAAAGCTAAATCCCCAACACAAAATGAATCAAGGTAATTTCAGCTCTTATAGTGAGAAGGATTCATTCTCTCTGTATTCCTCCCTCCCTCTCTTTCCCCCTCCCTCCCTCCTTCCCGCCCCCCCTTCTTCCACCCCGCCCCCTCCTCCTGCCTCCATCCCTCCCTCATTCTATCTCTTCCTCTCCGTCGCCCTCGCTCCTCGCTGGATGTTTCTTTCTGGTTTTTTTTTTCTTTCTGTCCTCCCTCCCCGCGAGTTTTGGGCGCTGGCTTAGAGGGCTCCCGCTTTCTCAAGGGAAGGGGAGCTGCCGAGACCGCGCTCCGCTCCCCCGCCGGGCCGGATGCCTCACTGAGCCCAGGTCCGAGTCAGTCGGGGTAACTCAGGGAAAGGGGGGCCTCCGCTTGGGAGTAGAAGGTCCTTTCCGGACCGAAGAGCCAGGGAGCGGACCGGGGGAGGGGGCCTGGTTGGCTGGAGGCGGTGAAGAAGAATACTCGTAGCTCCGTGCGGCGGCTGGACAGAGCCACCAATCAGCTGGGCGTGCAGACCGCCCTGCCAGGGCGAGGTTGCGTCCTGAGGCGCGGGTGGAGGGCAGCCGGCTCGCCGCGGAGCCGCGGCCACCTCCACCCGGGTGGGCCGGGGGCTAGGGAAGGGTGGAGGTGGGGGGCTTGGCGAGTGAGATGGAAGCGGCTCGGTGCAGCCCCGCCTTTGGTTCCACCTTCCCCGCCCCCGCCTGCGCCCCCGGGGCACCGCGAAAGGCCGGTGCGCGCGGCTGCGCTGTCCTCTTGCCTCTCCTCCGGGAGCCGGGGGACTTGCGCGCCCCTGGGCGGGGGCCACCCGCCTCCCTCCACTCCTAGAACCCTCACCCCCACCCCCTTCCCGGGCCCTTTGTTTCTGCCAAAGAGCCGTGCCCGGTGGCAGTTTTCACCCCAGGGCTTGGCCGTTCTGAACTCCTCCCCGCTTCAGCCCTTCTTAATTAAGAGGCGAGGGCTTGGGGTAGGGGTGAGGGGAACGCAGGGAAAAACCTATTTCCGAAACTCCAGACTCCACTGTTTTTCCAAACGAAAGGAAGAATCCCAACTCTGCGCAGGTGGAAAGGATGGATTCATAGGCAACGCGAGGATATTGTGGAAATTTAGAAGGGGAAAAAAAAAAAACTGGCACTAGGATCAGATGACGGTGATAGGCTGCTCGGCACACAAAGGGAGCGTAGGGCAGGGTTTACGGAGCAAGCCTGCAGCGAATGGGGCACAGATTGTTCTGAGATCCAGTCGTTTCTCAGTCAGATCTACGCGAAGGGAGGAGAGGGGAGGGGCAGAGAGGGAAGCGTGGCGGGAGGGGCCGGGCTTGGGGGCGGGGGGATTTCTGATCAGTCTGATGCAATTCCAAGCGTGCTGCAAAGGAACTCCAAGGCGCCCGCATCACCATCGCCACCCACCCTTCCCAGATGGTGCTGTTTTAAATACGGATCTGCAGGGCTGAACGCAGAACTGGGAGATTTATTGCAAAATCCCAGGAAGGGGGGGAACGGGGAATGGAGGGGCAGAATTTAAAGGTGCAACGCTTGCTTTTCCCAATCAAGCGGAAACTGGTCGGAATTTTTTTTTTCCTGTCTGCTTGTCTCTGGATTCTAATTCACCAAAGAAGAGGTGTAAATATTGTGACATTTTGAGGCAGCTTGATGGATGGGAAAAAAATCATCTGTCACTCTAAATTGCAGAGTTTCCTCTCCTCGCGCCATGCCTTGCTAGCGAATGCTCGCTGCTGCCTAATACAGTTGCTAGGGCTTCAAATGAATGTATCGTTAAGGGAATATTATCCTTTTAGTCGACTTGCCAATTTATCTGTCAGTTGAACCGAGAAAATTGTAGATTTCGTGTCTCTGGGAGACAAGGAGGAAAAATGCTTAACAGTCTAATTCTTGTAACCTCGAGATCTTTAACAACTTAAATAAACCTCAAAAGTGTCACGTCATCTTCCCTCTCTCTCTCTGTCTCTCTCTCTCTCTCAAGATGAAATGGTTTTGCCTAAAGTGTCGTGGAAATGGATGTCACTTTAAGCATAGTGCACCGGACATGCACTGTTTATACGTATTTACATATAGCTTTTTAGCATGAAGGCAAGAAATTTCACTTGTCCTGTTTGGAATCAGTCAGACAATTAGAAGGTGATAGAGAGGAGAGGGGAAGAAAGAGGAAGGAGAGAGAATTTTTAACCTTAAAAAACTAACAGTAACCTAGCCTACTTTTGTACCCCCTAGTCTTGAATATTAATATTGCCATATGTGAGATTTTAGCTTGGTCTAGCTCCCCCAATGGAATATATCAGTATTGATTCAGATTAAATTGCGTGCATCCTTCCCCATAGCTTTTTCAGTGTCATTGATAGTAAGACCTACAACACAGCAATTTTGGGAGAATAGAAGAGAATCTCTGAAAGGGCTTTGCAAACTGGGAAGCAGGCACTCCATAAATGGAAGGTATCATTATGACATTCTCTTTGCATACAGCATTTTCATTTGATTGCACCAGACTACTAGTTATTTAAAAACATCATCTAATTTGTATGCTCAAGGCAGTAAATGGGGATTTGAAAAGCAAGTGATTAGTTGGCTTACAAAATATTGTCAATTGTCTATCAGCATAAATTGGAAAGAAGGCTTTAAAAAGATCTAAAATCAACATACACAAGCTTCCTTTTTCATATGCCAGACTCTTTCCCTATCAAATCTCTGATCTAAATTCTTAATAAAAAGAGAAGCTGGTGAATTTGGTTTCTTTCCTTTTCCTGGCCTGTCCTCTAGGGGAAGCTTTAGTAAGAAGCATCATTCCAAAATCAGGCAGTGAGAGAGAGGAGGCAAGGAAGGGACTGGGTGATCACAGAATAAATAATCAGTCACAAAGCCAACAAATAGAAATGAGAGAAAATCAGCATTAAAGCATGCCTTACACAAGGTTTTTATTTTTCATTTCTGTGATTTTGAGACCAGACTCCAACTTGCACAAATGACATTCACTCAATCGTATTGCTTACAATCTGTCAGTTAAAATGATATCTGAGCATATTTTTATTAAATATACTTATTTCAAAGGCCAGTAAAGCTATTCTTTGCTTTTAATAAGGACAAAATAACCTAACCATTTAAATAATCCTAATGAATATGAACTGATATCATCTGATTTTAAAACTCTGCTTAAAACTAAATTCGTTCTGAAAAGCACTGACTTGCCAGAAAAATATCTATTTTTATAGCTTTCTTTTCACTCTATGGATAATTTAATGAGTTGCCTATTTTAATTTTACAACTGCTACCTCAGAAGTATCTCAAATTATCTTTCTTTGGCTGATGTCTTTCTCTGCTGATCTGCTACTGCTGTGTGTGTGTGTGTGTGTGTGTGTGTATGGGCGTGTGTCTCTGTGTGTTTTCTAGTGGGAATCTAACAA